TAAGTAGATTTTAAGATATCAAAACCTAATAAAATAAATATATTATGTATCTGAATTCTTATAATTAATATTTTACTTATGAAATTTCAAAATTTTTCAAAAATCATCATAATTAAAGATTTTATAATAAAACTTATAAAACAAATATAGTTAATATTGAGATTTAAGTTTTTCTCTCTGTAATCAACTTTTGTATATTGACATGCGATGAGTCATACTACTCTCTAATTCTCTTATTTATAAAGGTAGAATTTTCTAAATAAAAGAAATAGCTTAACACATTATAATAATGTTTTAGACACTCTCATCAAGTAGCTAGCTTACTTATAATTCCAAACTCTACACATATTTATATTACACTATATAAAACTGAAATAAAACTTAAACTCATTTGGATCACATAATTTTATTGGGTTTTATCAATTTTTTCGTTTGATCCAATTTTTGAAAACCAATAACAATTAGTAATGATCCAGATAAAAATTTCCAACAAAAATATCATTTGTTTTCAAATTCCTTCCATTACCATTGCCTCTAGTGAGTGGAGTGTCCTATTAAGTCGAATTTTATACAAGAGATAGTTTTGAGAATTGAACTTTTTTTATTTAAATTAATACATTATTGGTGTAATACATTAAATTTTATAAAAGATAAAATATGAATCCTTCATAATGAGACTTTAAGAAAATTCTATTTCTAATATCATTGTTTTCTACTTCCTTCCATAAATATGTCACTATTTAGTGTTTATTCCTTTTCTAAGGAGGGATAATTTCTGTCATTGTATATTTAATTTTATAAAAAATGGAATGTGAACTCTTCAAAATAAAAATTCAAATTTTAACATATAAGACATTTTTTATGGAGGTTCAAAATTTCATTTATAATACCTAATGTATAATTAACAAAATTTCTACCATGCTAATCCGTGATGGCCTCATTAGATAGGTTGGTATTGGGCTCGAGTTGAGTTTGACCAATTAAGCTCAAACAATTCTAATTAGGATCGACATATTTGTTATGTCTATCATTCTACTCTCTTGCTTTTGTATCCTTATTTTAAATTTCAATTCTCTTTTAAAGTTATGTAGTTAAACACGATCTTAATTAATGTGTGGTTTGCTTGAAATCTAATTATTTTAATTTGTCAATTTTATAGTTTTAAGAGACATTTATTTGTTTATGTGGTTTATAAAGCAATAAACCAAATCACAAGAAAAGCAATTACTTAAATCGGTTCGTATCGAACGGATCGGTTTGGCTCTAATAATACTACTTCCACTTCAAACCAAGATTAGTTAGACCTTAAATGTCATTATCAATTTACCACCACCCATCACATAGAATAGAACCCTATCAATTGATTCCAAGTTGTCTTTCCTTCATTGGCGTCAGATCCTTCGTAGCACTCAGACTTTCGATTTTTCTCTAACAAAGTAACTTCCTTTTTGTATTTAAACACAAAACAATTAAATGCTT